TTTATCCTTCTGCCCCTTTTGTACAGGGGAGTAACATTTACAACCCTCCAGTCCTCGGGCACCACCCCAGTGCCCAAGGAGGATTGAAAGATTGTGTCCAGAGCCTCCGTTATTTCCACCCTTACTTGGACCGGGTGCCTTATCTGCCTTGAGCACCGACAACATTTTTAGTACCTCCTCTCAGTTTATTCTTATCTTATCCAATTCCTCTACGCCCTCTCCTCCAATACTGTGGCATTGGCTGCATCTTCTTCTTTTGTGAAGACAGATGGAAAGTACTCATTCAGTACATCAGACATATCCTCTGCCTCCACAAGAAGATTTCGTCTTTGGTCCCTAATTGGACCCATCCTCCTTTGACTAACCTTTTATTCTTTATATGCTTATAAAATACCTTAGGGTTGCCTTTTATGTTCCCCGCTAATCTTTTCTCATACAATCTATTGTGGAATACAATTTTCTATTTGTTTATCTTGTGATAATTGGTTTTCTGATAATTATTATTGGGACCACTGTTCTTTTAGATCTATATAAATGACCTGGACTTATAATATTAAATAATAATAATCCTTGCATTTGATATAGCGCCTTATCACATCTTTAAGATGTCTCAAAGCGCTTCACAGAATATACTGTAATGTGAATTGACTGTATATTTTGTGGGCGAAAATCGGCAGCCAATTTTGCGCAGCAGCGTCCCACAAACAATCATAGATTGAGAGACCAATTTATAATTTTTTTTGAAGGAATTATTACCCCCGGAAAAGCGATCCTCCAATCGACTAACAAACGGGTTCCTACTTACTGCCAGGTAAACACAGGAGTGTGGATTAGGAAACTTGCCCAACATTTCCTCCTACTGGAAATCGAACCCAGGTCTCTCGCTTGTGAGGTGAGTGCTCTAACCACTGAACTAGAGGATTCCACAGGACTTGGGTATAGGGAGTACAATTTCCAAGTTTGCAGATGATGCTAAGGTAGAAAAATTAATAAACAGCGGATAGTAGCAGTCTGCAAGAGGACATAGACAGACTGGTAACATGGGCAGACACGTGGCAGATGAAGTTTAATGTGGAGAGATGTGAAATGATGCATTTTGGGAGGAACAATAAGGAGAGGCGATATAAGCTGATGGTACAATCTTAAAAGGGGTGAAAGAACAGGGAGACCTGGGGGTTCATATCAGTAAAATCTTTGAAGGTGGCAGGACAGGTAGGTAAAGCTGTTAAAAAACCTTACGGGTTACTTGGCTTTACAAATAGGGGCACAGATTACAAGTCATGAAGTTATGATGAACCTTTACCATCGACGGCCGGGCTTTCAGCCTCTCTGCCCCCACCCGTTGGAACTCCATCCCACCGTCCCTTCGCCTTGCTCCCTGTCTTGCCTCCTTCAAAGCATGACTCAAGACCCTCCTTTTTGACTGTGCCTTCAGCTGCCATCATACCTCCTCTGCCCTGCCTCATCCCAACCCTGAGCCCCCCCAGCCCCCACCACCGTGCTCAGTTCCTGATCCCTGACTGTTCAGCGTCTTTGGAAATCCTCCTGATGTGAAAGGCACTTCACAAATGCAATTTTGTTATTGTTGCGGTTTATAAAACACTGGTTAGGCCTCAGATAGAGACTGTTCAGTTCTAGGCTCCACACTTTAGGAAGGATGTCAAAGTATTTGAGAGGGTGCAAAGGAGATTTAGCAGCATGGTACCAGGAATGAGGGACTTCAGTTATGAGAAGAGGCTCGAGAAACTGGGATTATTTTCTTTGGAGCAGAGAAGGTTAAGGGGAGATTTAATAGACGCTTTTAAAATTATGAGAGGATTCGAAAGGGTGAAGAAGGAGAAACTATTTCCACTGGTGGGTGGGTTGGTTACCATAAGACACCGATTTAAAATAGGGTATAGGGAGTACAATATCCAACGCATTCCAGATCTGAACAACTCACTGCGTGAAAAAATTTCGCCAAAAGAACCAGAGGGGATGGTGAGGAGAAACTTTTTCACGCAGAGAGTTGTTCAGAACTGGAATGCATTGCCTGAAAGGCCGGTGGAAGCCGATTCAATAACAACTTTTAAGAGAGATGTCGATGGATATTTGGGGAGGACAAGTTTGCAGAGCTATGGGGAGAGAGCGCGGGAATGGAATTCTTTAGCTTTAGCGTCTTTTCAAAGAGCTGGCACAGATATGATGGGTCAAACGGTCTCATTCTGTGCTGTATAATTCTATGATTCTATGGTTTTATGATTTCAGACACTGTCCAATGCTGGAATGGGGAGATGGTCGAGTTGGCTGGCAGAAGAAATCTATCTGATTGTAATTGTGAAGGTGAATACATCGGATGGGGTTGAGGCAAGAAGTGGCTAAGCAAGCGTGCTGGATGAATGATGATAATAATAATCCTTGGGCTTGATCTGGCGCCTATAACAAAAAAACATCTCTTAACACCTCACAGGAAATTGCTGTCTTATGCACAGACTGTGAGTTCGGAGGCATCGTTAACCAGTTTCCAGGCTGGCGTGACGTCCTTTCAGTTTGTTTTCTTGTTCCTGACCTGAGGAATACTTAACCTCACCCGTTCTGATCATGTGATTAGATTTATTATCAGAGGAGCTGCCGAGCCAGAAAACTCACACCCACCTCAACAATAATCCTTACATTAATCCTTACAAGTGGGGTCCTGGTGATGAGATCACTCGCCTCACAAACAGCCAAGTGATTTTATCTGGGATATTATCAGCCAAGGCACTGGGAGAAACTCTCTTCTCTTTTCGAAGGGAGCCATTCGAACATCAACCAGAACAAGCAGATGGGACCAAGATGAATGTCTCATCCGCAGGTCAGCAGCTCCAACAGCTCCCAGCACAGCACTGGTGGGTCAGCCTAGACTCTGCGACTTCAAAACTAGCTTCCGAATTGAGAACAATTTTAACAATTTTCCACAGTTTCCTACGATCTTGAATTTTAAAAACAGGCTATGACCGGATGGAATTTGGGGACTCCGATTTATTAGAGTCCTTGAGGAAAATCACCCACGACTTAATGCAAGCGCGACTTAAACATGGAACAAGAGAGTTGTGTGAGAGTTTGCCACATTCTTTCTCGTGGGTAATCTGATCCCTTCTCAAGTGCCTACGTTCAGTAGCACTCTCTTCCTCTGGGTTAGAAGGATCTGGATTGAAGCATCCTATTCAGATATGAGCTCACAGTGTAGGGTTCATTACTGGCGGAGGAAGAGCTATAATAATAATAATAATCCTCGCATTTGATATAGCGCTTTTCACGTCGGGAGGACGTCCCAAAGCGCTTCACAGAACACACTGTAAAGTGAATTGACTGTATATTTGTGGGCGAACGCAGCAGCCAATTGCGCACAGCAATGTCCCACAAACAGTCGTAGATTGAAAATGACCAATTTATTATTGTTTTTGGTTTTGGAGGGAATATTATTAGGCTCTGTGTGGAGTAAGGAAACTTGCCCAAGGTTTCACCCTCTGCCTGGGATTGAACTCAGGTCTCTCACTTGCAAAGCGAGTGCTCTAACCGCTGAGCTACAGGACTCCACGGTAATGTTAGATGTGCTGCCCTTTGAGGTCCCATCTGCCTATGCTGTCCGGGCCTTTTCACTGAAAGGGAAGGGATTCTTTCCGGCTGTCCTGGTTAACAATCCTCATTCGCACTGACAGCTGGGGAACATTGCTGATGCAAATGGCTGCTGTGTTTCCCTACACCCGAAGGCAACTTGAGGCAAATCTGCATTTGATACAACGTCTCTAACATCAAAACATCTCAAAGGGAATTGCCCTCAATGGTAGCGATTGTATATTTTGTAGGAAAGCACTGCAGCCAATTTGTGCATTGTTAGATTCCATAAACAGCCGTGAAGTGAACGAAGAATTTTATGTGGAGGACCGTTGGCTGAGACTCGGAGAGAGAAACTCTCTTCTCTTTTCGAATAGTGGCTCTGGCGTTGGCTGGCTCCGGCCTCCCCATCGGCAGCTGCACTCTCAGCCACTGCGCCGTGAAACTCTGAAGCACTCTATCCCTCCGCCTTCCCTATCTTCAGGTCTCGCCTGAATAGCTTCCTCTTCCTTACACTGTAAAATCTAGTGGCTGTAGGCATGTGTATCACCAATTTGCACACAGCTGTGAAGCGAGTGACCAATTTTGCAATAAAAACTCCTGCATCTGACATAGCGCCTTATCACATTGTCGAGAGGTCTCAAAGCGCTTCACAGAATATCCTCCATAGTGCTTTTGACTGTATTTGGTGAGCAGTGTCCCACAAACAGTCGTGGAGTGAGTGACCGATTTTATTTGGGGAGATTGTTGGCCAGGACACCGGGGGGAGGGGGGAGCGAGAGAGACAAACTCCCTTCTCTTGTCGAATAGTGCTACGTGATCTTTAACGTCCACCTGAACAGGCGGGCGGAGGGATTGTCGGCTGGGGGAGAGAAACTTCCTTCTCTTTTTGAGTAGCACAACGGGATCTTTAATGTCTAACCTCTTTGACCGTGCCTTCAGCTCCCCTCTCGACTCTCTACCCCCTCCTCGCTCCCTCCCTCCCCTCCCCTCACCCTGACCATTTCCCCCCAATGCTCGGGTCCTGACCCAACTGTACAGCGCCTTGGGACGTCCTCCCGACGTGAAAAGCGCTCTATAAATGGAACCTTGTTGTTGTTGTTGTTGTTGTAACCTGAACAGGCAGACAGGGAACTCAACTCAACATCTCATCTGAAGAACGGCACCTCCGACAATGCAGCGCTGCCTGGAAACTATGGACTATTTTTATTCAGCAGATCTGTGGGGTGGGGAATGTCCTCTGTGCTCTCCTCAACCAACAATCGAGCAGTAGGTGGAGCTGCACCGTGGAGCAAGTTCCTTAAAGATGAAGATACTCATGCAAAGGCTCTGCCGGGGGGAGGGGGGGGGGTGTGCCGGAGGGTCCATCAGCATCGAGGGAGAGAGAAACAGTCAATATAAACTGGGCAAAGCGTGAGCTTTCCTGAACCATGGAAATACCAGCAGGAGACCATTCAAATCATTGCATCAGTGTAGGTGTTTGTTCCTCCAATGAAGCCATCTATTCTCATCCCCTGCCTTTCCTCCGCACGGGTTTATTTCATTCTCTTCAGAATGCTGGGACACCCAACCCTGGGAATTCTTCCCCACGTCCCCTTTCCACAGTCCGAGTTATCAGCCAAAATCCACACCCTCTTCAGCCTCTCCTCACAGCTGTGTGTTTATTAATGTTATTGATAGTGATACAGTTCATTAAGGTTAGTTCACTTTACAGCATACTCTGTGAAGCGCTTTAAGACATGTCAATGATTTGCTAATAATAATCCTTGCATTTGATATAGCGCTTTATCATGTCTTCAAGAGACGTCCCAAAGTGTTTCACAGAATATACCGTAAACAATTTCAGCTAATTCGGCACAGCAGTGTCCCAGATTAATCAACAAAATTATTATTTTTTCAAAGGGATTCTTACACCGAAAAAAGTTATCTGTTATCTTGTCAAAACAGAGTGGTTTCACAGAGTTTTCTGTAAAGCGTAGTGACTGTATTTGAAGGCGAATGAATCCCGCATTCTTGTGTAGCGTAACGATAGATACAGCTAGGTATTTGGGCCCCTCTAGTGTCACTGAGCTCAATAGCTTTTAAAAGGGAACTGGACAACAAAATGTTCAAAAAAATAAAATAAAAATAAAACGCTGGGGAAAGAGCGGGGGAGTGGGACGTAATAAAAAGTTCTGTTAGAGAGAGGTGCAAGCACCATGTGCTGATAAGGCTTAGTGTTGTTGAGTGGATTGACAGCGGGGATATATTTAATGACCTTGAATTAATTTTTTCAGTCGGGTCAAGAACTCGCACTTGCAGACGGCCTTTCACGTAAAGCCACGCCTCAAATCCCTTTACAGCATTGATGTGGGCGACTGAGCAGATTAGGAGGAAATGGGACGGCTGAATACGTTGACTGTGTTGACTGAAGGCTCTGTCAAAGAGGGAGGATTTTTACCAGAGCTTCAATGCAGAGACAGAGAGAGAAAGAGACAGCATCTCGATTCATTCATAGAATGCAGTCAGTCATTATGCCTGTGCAAGCTCTCTGAAAGAGCTTTTCATTTGGACCCCTCCCCAGCCCCCGCCCCACATTCTTTAATCTTTTTTCTTTATCGATTATTGTTCTAATTCCCTTTTAAAAGTTGTCAAGGATTCTGCTCCAACCACTGTTGTTTGGGTAGATTGTTCCATCTTCTAAATTCCAGTCTCCCCAATTCTCACCAGGCTCTCCTTCTCCGAAAGGAACAACTTCAAAATCCCTCACTCTCACGTACAAATCTCTTCATACCCCAGCGCCTCCCGACCTCTCTGACTTGCTCCTACCCCACTTCTCTTTTTGCCCACCAAATGCACAGTCGATTCACTTTACAGTATATTCTGTGAAGTATGCTCTGTGGCAGGTCAGGTCAGGGCGAATCGTTGGGAAAGTTTCCTTACTCCACACGCCTCTGTTTACCAGTAGTAAGTAGGAGCTTAGCTGTTAGTCGATTGGCAGATCACTTTTCTGGGGGTAATAATCCCTCCAAAAATTAACTAAATAAACAAATAATAATAATTTGGTCACTCAACTATGGCTGTTTGAGGGACTCTGCTGTGCACAATTGGCTGCCGTGTTTTCCCCCTCAAAATTTACAGCCAATTCACTTACAGTATATTCTGTGAAGCGCAGTGAGACGTCTCAAAGATGTGATAAGGCGCCATATCAAATGCAAGGATTATTATTATATTCTCAACCTGTTCCTTTCGCTGAGCCAGCACAGACCTCCTGTGTGTCCCCAACTCTTCTGATCACCATTGGTGGCTGTGCTTTCAGCCACTACGTCCCTAACCTCTGGAACCTCTGGACCTCAATCCCTCTAATTAAGGTTAGGCAACCCCCTCCACTTCTTTACCCATCTTTCAATCCCAGTTTAAGATCTCCTCTTTCTCCCTGGCACAATGTCGAACTCTGTAACTGTACAGAGTTGTTTTCCTGAGATGTTTTCCTGTGTGAAATGTAAATACAATTTGTCATTGTTGGCTATGTAAAGAAAATTCACCTATTGCACTCTCTCCAAGACACACTGAGGGCTCCAGCTTTACTAAGGTCACTGTAGACCACCATTTCTGCTCATTCTCGGCATCCTCCGGTGCCCTTCCTTAGTGTGGGAGCAGCTACAATTTAACCTTGGGGCATTTAACAGGGAATTAGATCAGCAACATGTGAAGGGAGAGGTTTGGGGGGGAAGGGGGTGGAGAGCAGGGAATTGGTATTACGGTAGATTGCTTTATTGGAGGAAAAAACACTGATACTAATACAAAGGGACCAAATAGTTCACAATTGTGTTTCTATGGAGATGTATAGGCAGCGCAACCCCTCCCCCACCACTTCCATCTTCCTGATGTTGAATGAAATCTGCTTCTCGCTCCCAGCCTACCCCACTGTGCTTATCCTGCACATTCAGCAGTGCTCTGATATATTGACCCTGACATCCGTCCATAGTCTTGCCCTCCCCTGCCCCCATCTCTACAATCTACAAAGTACAATCTCCTCCCCTCCATTCTCCAGCCTGAACCCTCCACTCATCAGCGGCTCGTTCATAGCCTTATTCGTCCATGTTCAGTGGCAGAGCCTTCAGCCTTTGTGATAATGATTGAAGGGAGTAAATTCAAAACAAATCTGCGGAAACACTACTTCAGTGAACGAGTAGTAAATGTATGGAACAGGCTCCCTAGGGAGACGGTGGCAAGAAAGTATCTTTCAAAAACAAACTGAATAGATTTCTTTTAGGAAATACTATCTCGGCATACAGTAATAATAATCCTTGCATTTGATATAGCACTTTTCACGTCTTCGAGACGTCTCAAAGTACTTCACAGAATAGACTGTAAAGTAAATTGACTATGTTTGGGGGCGAAACATGGCAGCCAATTGCGGACAGCAGCGTCCCACAAACAGTCATGGATTGAGTGACCAAATTATTATTGTGGTTTTTTTTGAGGGATTATTATCAGGCTTGTGGAATAGGGAAACTTGCCCAAGGTTTGCCCTGCCGGGAATTGAACCCAGGTCTCTCATTTGCGAGGCGAGTGCTCTAACCACTGAGCTATAGGATTCCATAGTGTGTAGTTTGGGACATGACATGTGCATCCCTTATCCTTTTGAGATCTACTGCCTTCAATTTTGCTCTTCATAACTGAACCTCCTCATCCCTGGTAATAAGATATAGAACTTTGTCAATTGATCTTGAATCCGAGTGAGCAATTCTGGGAGCAGAGATTTTTCTTACTTGGCTCCTCTTAATCTGCCAAATCTCTAATGGGTAGAGTTGTCATAACTGGCCAAACAGTGGGAAGCTTGCCAGACAATGCTATCAATGGCAATGAATGAGGTTTTAGTTGGTTAAACTCTAGCATTTACTCCAACAGACACTCTGGGGTCTCCAGCCAACCTGTGCCTAATACTCTCTGGAATTAGATGAGCAGGACGCATCCCTCCAGGAAGAGGGTGTGGTTTCCACTCCAGATACTGAGAAATTTCCATGTGTATGTTGTAAGCATATGTGGAACTGTCAGTCAGGTTTGCACAGTGATGGATTTCCACACGTGTCGGACACTCAGCTGACCAAACAACCGATTGAGCAATCCTCTTCTGACACGTCTACCCTCTGCTGCTAATGTGCCCTTCATTCAAACCCGGCTTCCAATTGAATTTTAATCCAATTTAATTAAACCTGCTGAGGAGCTGGGATGGCAGAGTTTATAAATAACATTTCTAGTCTTTATCGGAGATGTTTGGTTTCAAATTTGTTCAAACCACACTCACTTCTGTCTCTACTGGCTCAGTGCTGTCACTTGGGCTTGTGAGTCAGAAGGTTGTTAGATCAAATCTCACAATGGTCCTTTAAGCTGCTGCTGGCCACCCAGTGCCCCAGGGTGAGGGTGCGTTGTTTGAACATGACGTTCTAAAAATGAAATGTTAAGGCGAGGTTCCATCTGCTCATTCAGGTAAATATTCAGGCTCCCATAATAATAATTATATTCCTTGCATTTAATACAGTTTAGCCTCTTGTGTCCTCGAAATGTCTCAAAACGCTTCAAGGGATTTAATTTCATAATGTAGTGACTGTATGTTTGTCAGCGAACGTGGCAGCCAATTTACACACAGCGACGTCCTGCAAACAGCCAATTCGGGGGACTGTTGGCTAGGACACCAGGTACAAGAGCCACCTAAACAGGCAGACAGGATCTCGGTTTAACGTCTCGTCCATTGACGCTCTTAAAAATGAGAAGGGAGTTTCTCTTGGTGTCCTGGCCGACAATCATAGGCAGCTGTTGAAAATATTCTTGGGGTATTGTGGGGTGGGGTGGGGGGGATGCTGAGTTGGGCTGCATTCTCCTTGTACATCCTTTGCTGGAAACTTTGGAGTGTGTGTGTGTCCATGGATCAACTCTCACTCAACTTACTGACTATTACGTCCTCCTGAGGTGACCAAAGGCGCTATACAAATTTAATTTGTTGTTGTTGTTGTTGCACTTGTTTTATTTCACATCCTGTAAACACACCGTGGAGGTCAGCCTCCTCTCCGGCTGCAGCATCCCATTAGCCAAAGCAGGAGAAGGGGTGAGCCCCTGGTGGGGGGTGAGCCCTCTCTCGCCCTAGTCACCCACTGTCTATCCCGAAAATCCGCTGCATAAATCGCCATTCATTTCATTGTGGAGTCCTGTAGAGTAGTGATTTGAACACTCACCTCGCAAACAAAAGCTCCCAGATTTGATTCCCGGGCAGGGCAATACCTTAGGTAAGCTTCCTTACCCCGCACACCTCTGTTTACCCAGCGGTAAGTAGGAACCTGGTTGTTTAGTCGATCGACAGATTGCTTTCCTGGGGTAATAATCCCTTCAAAATAATAATAATTTTGTCACTCAATCCACAACTGTTTGGGGGATGTTGCTGTGCACAATTCGCTGCCGCATTTCTCCCATAAACTATACAGTCGATTCACTTTACAGTATATTTTGGGAAGCGCTTTGAGACGTCTCAATGATGTGATAGGGGGCTGGTAGGGTTCACCAGAAAGAGACTTTACCCAGTAAATAAATTTACTTAATTTTATTAAATATTTTATTAACCTTATTAAGTATTTGGATCTTATTTAACAATTGCAACATAGATTTAATGCTTTAACAAATATAAGTGTAATACAGTTAACTACATTAAAGTAATAAGAATTAACAGATACCAATATTGTCTGATCCTGTTGAGGTGCAATGCTAACCATCAGCTGCTCACAACGGTCCTTTCCTTTGCTTGCTCCAACTATCCCAAAGTTACCGCTTTCACACATCGTGTCTGTGCCAGGTCTTTTCAAACAACCGACACGATGGGCTGAATGGCCTCCTTCTGTGCTGTATAATTCTATGATTCATTTATACCCCATTTTAGCCCATGTGACCCTTAAAACCAATAAAGGAATTCGAAGGTTGTTGTCCAATCATATCCAAAGTTGAATTAGCCAATAATACCCCAAACTGCTTCATCCAATCATCTTCACACGCACCCGGGGGGTTACCATGTTTGTAACCTCAACGGAGTTTGGAGGTTCTCAGGTACCAAGTGTGAAAAGTTCATTTTGGCAGTGGATTGTCTTAGTTGACACTTGAAGTCATAAACTCCTTTCAAGGCATTCTTTCTTTCCATTAGACTGCCCGGCACAGAGAGTTCAATTAATCAGGACAATCATCTCCCATCCAAGGGATATCACATTCACATCCAAAGTTGACACACCCAGAGTCCCCTGGTCCCTTCAGTTGACTGCAATGTACTATTAGGTACAATCTTCCAAATAAGGAAAGGAACAACACCCATCCATCAAGTTTTGTTTTTGATCAAACGTATCACAGAATCTAAACACCTCGACTCCCCTTTAGATCCAAGTTTTATAACACATTCCTTAAGATCAATCGATCGATCGATCGATCGATCGATCGATCAATCGATCAATCGATCAATCCATCAATCAATCAATCAATCAATCAATCAATCAATCATCAATAAACAATCAATCATCAATCAATCAATCAATCAATCAATCAATCAATCAATCAATCAATCAATCAATCAATCAATCAATCAATCAATCATCAATCAATCAACTGTCAATCAATCAACTGTCAATCAATCAATCAATCAGTCAATCACTCAATCAATCCAATCAATCAATCATCAATCATCAATCAATCAATCAATCAATCAATCAATCAATCAATCAATCAATCAATCAATCAATCAATCAATCAATCAATCAATCAATGTTGCTCCCAGTTCTTACACACACTTTGGGTACCAAACGATGATTTTAACTACAGTCTTACAGCACTATATCAAATGCAAGGATTATTTTTATTAATATTATTATTATTCCGAGTAGGGAAATGTAGTGACTTATCACATTCTTTCAGTGTTTAGAATTGATAATCTCTCAACTGACCGGTTACGGAGCTGTGAACACACAGGACTGGGTACATCAGGGCAGAGTATATCAGGATGGAGGTTCTGCTCAAACCAAGCGGTTTACCACAAGTTACACCTTTACATCGCCTTTTATATCCGCAGAACATCTCAAAATCTTCACCCAGACAGAGCTGGGGCGCGACTCGTGAAAACGGTAGATCTTAATAATAATCCTTGCATTTGATATAGGGTCTTATCACGTCACTGAGACATCTCAAAGAGCTTCACAGAATATACCGTAAAGTGTAGTGACTGCGTGTCTTGTGGGAAAAACACATCAAACAGGATTTGGAAGCGGAGAAGAAGGAGTGAGATGCAAGGATTTGGGGAAAGTTCCTGGCAGGGTGTTGGCGGTGGAGAAAGTGGATGAAAGATTGTGGGATAGAGTAACGGAGGCATAAAGCGGGCTGTAGCCAGCCGAGGGGAGGGAGGGGCCAGCAGAGTAAGGGCGCAGTAGATCACAGACACGAGTGGCACAAGGCAGTGTAAGTAAGCATTTGAAAGTGAGGGTTTTAGTAGATCCACTGGAGGATAGGCATGTGGGGAGGAGCCAGTGGTGTGATGAGGATAGGGGCTGCGGAGTCCTGTGTGGTTTGAAGTTTGTAGAGTGGAGCTGGCGAGGCTAATGGAAAAATTGAGTCTTGTGTGTCAAAGCGTGGCTGAGTTTTCAGCAGCATTTAGGGGTGGGATGACAGAAGTGGGTGATGTTGTGGTGGAGGCAGGGAGGTAGAGTTGGGTGTTAAAAGAAATGTGTGGGAGGATGCAGGCAAGAAGCAACAAGAAAACATAAGCCTTCTGCAAACATGAGCAGGAAACGTTTGCAAGACGCAGAGGCACAGAACTACACCACTTACAACACAAGCAGCACCTTGATATCCTCTCAAAGCAACCACTTTGGTGTCATGTAGGTGTCTTGTCACCAGCCCAAACTTTAACTTCAAAGCCTCATGTAGTTTTGAACTCACAGTTCAGGTTGGTGCTCCATTTCAGTGTTCTGCGAGTGCTATGGGATTTTTTGAGGTGCTGTCCTCTGCATAAGACTTTAAGCCGAGGTCCTATCTGCGAGCACAACTCAAAGAGGAGAAGGGAGTTTCTCCTGGTGTCCTGGTCAACGATCCTTTGAATAAATTGGTCATTCACCTCAATGCTGTGGTGAGAGCATGCTGTGTCCAAAAATGACCATAAGGTAGTTTGAGACGGTTTGATGTGATAAGTGTTATACATAGAAAATCTTTGTGTTCGGTTTGTTGGGTTCAATGCTTTATTCCGTCATCAAAATGTCTCAAAGAGCTTTGCGGGGTTTACTGTAAAATGGAGTGACTATTTATTTATAGGTGAATGTTCCTCTCCTCTGTGGGGGAGTGGGGATAAGTTTGTACATGGCATGAGTAGACTTCCCGCATGTGGAGTCCTGTAGCTCAGTGGTTGGAGCACTCGCTTTGCAAGTGAGAGACCTGAGTTCAATTCCAGGCAGAGGGCGAAACCTTGGGCAAGTTTCCTTACTCCACACAGAGCCTAATAATAATCCCTCCAAAACCAAAAACAATAATAAATTGGTCATTTTCAATCCATGACTGTTTGTGGGACATTGCTGTGCGCAATTGGCAGCCGCGTTCGCCCACAAATATACAGTCAATTCACTTTACAGTGTGTTCTGTGAAGCGCTTTGGGACGTCCTCCCGACGTGAAAAGCACTACATCAAATGCAAGGATTATTATTATTATTATACTCAGGTTGCCAGAGGCATGAACTCACATCCTTTTCTGTCCAGTTCAATAATTCACTCCAATTTTCCTGTATCCTCCCACTCGCATCTGTTTTGCAATCTATAATTTATAAAACAACTAAAATATTTACAAAGATCCGACCATTTTTTCCCCATTTGCATTCTGTGAAATCAAATTTATTGCAAAATCCAAACTTTCTGAGACCCCATTTTTCAATGAGCGTCAGCACAGACACGATGGGGAGAGAGCAGGGAATGGGATTAGAGTAGAGAGCTCCAGTGTTCGGGGTTGGGGGGGGGGGGGGTAGGGGAGGGAACACCAACAAGGGCCCGATGAGGAAAGAGCAGGGAATGGGATTAGATAAGAGTGTTCCATTGAGGGATCGAGCACTGGCGCAGACATGATGGACTGAATGTCCTTCTCCTGCATTGTAAAGATTGTATGATTTATAGAATCATAGAATATTACAGCACAGAAGGAGGCCATTTGGCCCATCGTGCTTGTGCCAGCTTTTTGGTGATCGAAAGCATAGTCAAAGAGGAGGGTCTTGAAATGGGTCTTGAAGGAGGCAATGGAAGGGGCGAGGCAGAGGGATTGCGGAATGGAGTTCCAGACGGTGGGGGCAGAGGGGCAGAAGGCTCACCCACCAATAGCCGGGCGAGTGAGGTGGGGGACGTGAAGCAGGCCGGAGCCCGCTGAGCGGAGGGAGTGAGCAGGATTGTAGGGGGTTAGGAGGTCACAGAGGTAGTGGGGAGCAAGACTATGTAAGGCTTTGAAGGTGAGAACCAGGATCTTCAACTGTGTCTTCTGTGTGATGGGAAGCCAGTTCGTTGGAAGAGTTACCAAATAGTCTCACTCGCCCGCTCTTTCCCCATAACCTTGCAAATTTTTCCTTCTTAAGTGCCGAAACCCTCATACATGGTTTCCTTACATCGAGGCTCAACTATACAAACTCACTGCTTGTCGGCCTCCCCATTTACTCCCTCCACAGGCAGCAGATCATCCAGAACTCTGCAGCCCATGACCTCTCCCGCACCAGGCTCCGTGACCCTATCACCCCCATCCTCGTCCGACTCCACTGGCTTCCCATCACACAGAGGATACAGTTCAAGATCCTGAACCTCACCTTCAAAGCCCCCCATGGTCTTGCTCCCCCCACTACCGCTGCGACCTCCTAACCCCCTACCATCCTGCTCGCTCCTCCGCTCAGCGGGCGCCGGCCTGCTTCATGTTCTGTGTCTCGCTCGCTCCACTGTTGGCGGGCGGGCCTTCTGCGACTCTGCCCCCACCCTCCATCCTGCTGTCCCTCCACCTTGTCCCCTTCCTTTGCCTTCTTCAAGACCCATCTCAAGACTCACCACTATGACTGTTCTTTCGATCACCCTGCTTCCCCCCCTGCCCTCCACCCTCCCTGATCCCGACCCCCAGCTCGGGTCCGAAATCCTGACTGTCCAGCGCCTTGGGATGTCCTCCCGATGTTAAAGGTGCTATACACATGTAATTTTGTTCTTGTTGTTGTTGTTGTACCCATCTAATTCAAGATTGCAAGATGTTTCAGGGTGAAATATGAACCAAAACTCAGTAAATGGCATTTGGTTTATTTGTGGCTTTTTTTTCTTCTATTACCTGCAGGAACAAAGTTGGAACGAAGACAGGATTCCCAGGAGTTACAATGAAGATCACAGCGTTGCTTCTTATTGCTTATGTGGATCTTGTCTTTGGCTACATCCCAGGTATGTGGATAACAGATCTCCTGGAGTATTTAATGTTTCTCTCCACCGCCCTCCGTGTATTTCACCCACAAAACACACAGTCAAAACCACTTTACAGATTACCTTGTGAAGCGCTTTGAGACATTGTGACAATGTGATAAGGCGCCACATCAATTGCGAGGATTATTATTGTTATAATTTATTAGACTTTTTTTAGACATACAAATAATTTCCTTTCTGGTGACTGACTCCCTCATGTCTCTCAGTATTGAGCTCAGGGTAATGGGGGTGTCGGTGTTAGGCATGGTCATTGTTACATATGGAAACAACATTTGCTTGCTTCCAGTCTGTTGGAACCATTCTAGTCGTCGACCCTATTCTACCAGTTTATTAACATGAGGCAGATCTTTTTACACAAATCTCCTGTGTCATTGAGGGTGTTACACAGTGATGGCAACACACTGCTGCCAGTTAACTCAAGGGCAATGTTGGCTCGTGTCTTCCATTTGGGCTGAATGGTCTTCTTCTGTGCCGTAAATTTCTGTTGTTCCATTAACCTCCATCTGCCATTTGAGCTATTTTCAATAATAATAATAATAATCCTTGCATTTGTTATAGCGCTTTTCACGTCGGGAGGACGTCCCAAAGCGCTTCACAGAACACACTGTAAAGTGAATTGACTGTATATTTGTGGGCGAACGCGGCAGCCAATTGCGCACAGCAATGTCCCACAGACAGTCGTGGATTGAAAATGACCAATTTATTATTGTTTTTGGTTTTGGAGGGATTATTATTAGGCTCTGTGTGGAGTAAGGAAACTTGCCCAAGGTTTCGCCCTCTGCCTGGAATTGAACTCAGGTCTCTCGCTTGCAAAGCGAGTGCTCTAACCACTGAGCTACAGGACTCCAAATCCATTGCACTGTCAACATTATCATTTTCAGGGCAGCTTCTTTTCGGCAAGTAAACGGCTGTACATTTAGAAAAAGAATCGTTGAAAATTTATAGAAATAAGATTTCTTTTAATAGCCTCTTATCAAGTCTCAGAGTGCTATACAATCATCATCATCATAATAATCCTTGCATTTGAAAAGTGCCTTATCACATCTCAACGCACTTCACAGAATATAATGTAAAGTGGATTGTCGATATTTTGGGGGCAAAAAAACACGGCAGTCAGTTGAGTTGAGAGAGTGCCAAGTTGTCAGGCTGAATAATGCAGGGTAAGGTGCCACCAGGAAAAATAATAATTGTACTTTATATAATAATAATTAGTTATACAACATGATATAAAGCACTTTCTGGTTGGTTTTAATGGACTTGCTAACATTTAATTTGGGAGAATTGCATAATGATACAAATACAATGTAAAATTACATTTGTGTAGCGCCTTTCCTGTGGGGAGGACCTGGAGTGTTAATCTACACCATTGCCAAAGTTATGTTCAGTTCCCAGCACCATCTTCATAACATCTTATTGAGTGGTTTTTTGTCTTAGGTCCCAAAATAATCACCTGGGTTACACCTTGGATGAATTCCACATACTCCGAGACGGTTTGTGCTCAAAATTTAGAATTGTGCAGAATCGTGGAAACAAAATTCTTCAATTCAGTCTGAATTGAGTGGAGACCTGTAGCTCATTTCGTGGCTCTTTGTGCTGTGCACAAATTGGTTGCCAGTTCACCGCAAATGCATAGTCACTACACTTTGTACAGTAAAAATCTTTGAGATATCTTGACGATGCGATAAGGTGTATATCAAATGCAAGGTTATTAATATTAATATTTATGACAGACATGTGACACAGAGCATTTAACGATCCTCAGTTGAGCCACTCTATTGTGTTTAGCGAATCCTCTGACTCGGCAAGAACTGTGGCTTGTCTTGAATATAATCTTTTGTGTATTTCAGAGGAAGAAAAGGACCCAATGTACTGGAGGAACCAAGCTCAGAATGTACTGAAACAAGCTCTTAAACTGCAAACCCTAAACACAGCTATTGCTAAAAATATCATTCTGTTCCTGGGGGATGGTAAGTGTTACAAAGGGAAGGAACAAAAGAGAGAACTTGCCTTATTAAACCAATTGATTATGTCAATATGTCTCCAAGCACTTTCCATAATTACCAGTTTCTCCCAGCATCCTGACCACAAATGATCACAAAATGGCTGCTTGGTTGGATCTCTATCCCAGAGTCCCTCCGCCTCGCTCCCTCCCTGGCCTCCTTCAAGGCCCTTCTTAAGACCCTCCTCTTCAACTGTGCCTTCAGCCACCTTCTTACCCACCCTCCCTGCCCTCCACCCCTCCTGATCCCAATCTCCAGCTCAGGTCCAAAATGCCTGACTGTCCAGCACCTTGGAACGTCCTCGTTGTTGTTGCTCCCAAAAGAGTCATTATATATTGTGGAGTCCTGTAGCTCAGTGGTTAGAGCACTCGCTTTGCAAGTGAGAGACCTGAGTTCAATTCCAGGCAGACGGCCAAACCTTGGGCAAGTTTCCTTACTCCACACACCTAATAATAATCCCTCCAAAACCAAAAACAATAATAAATTGGTCATTTTCAATCCATGACTGTTTGTGGGACATTGCTGTGCGCAATTGGCTGCCGCGTTTTCCCACAAATATAAAGTCAATTCACTTTACAGTATATTCTGTGAAGCGCTTTGGGACATCTAGAAGACGTGAAAAGCGCTATATCAAATGCAAGGATTATTATTATTATATTTTATGAGTGGAGACGTTATAAAAATACAAGCTTCCTTTTCCCATGAAAGCGTAGAAACTGTTACATCTGATATCAGGCCTCTTAAACAGCAACAACAACTTGCACTTATATAGTGCCCTCCACGCCGGGCGGCGTCTCAGAGCGCTTATCAGTGCGCTCTTCCCTCCTGTTCCTCGCTGGTACCAGGATCCGCCTGCCCCAAGTTGAATTGAGTTTGAATTCCTCAAGACATGGCTGCCTTGTGGTCACGATAACCACAGCAACTACCCCCTCATACAGATGCCTCCCCCCAGCACACCCCGCCCCATCCCCACTCCCCCTCCATGCATTGGTGGCAGTGTGTGTGTGCACGACACCCTCTATTGCAAAGCTGCCTAGTGAACTCAATAACTTTGTTAACACTGTATTTCTCACTGCGTGGATTAAGGCAGATATTTGATATAGCGCCTCATCACATCTTCAAGATGTCTCACTACGGATCACAGAATACACTGTAATGTGAACTGGCTGTACCTTTTGAGGGGGAAAACGCGGCAGCCAATTGTGCACAGCGGTGTCCCTCAAACAGCCATAGGTTGAGTGACCAATTTGTTATTAGTTAGTTTTTGGAGGGAGATTATTACTCCCAGAAGAGTGATCCTCCAATCGACTAACAACTAGTTCCTACTGACTGCTGGTAAACAGAGGCATGTGGAGTAAGGAAACTTTCCCAACGATTCGCCCTGACCTGACCCGCCCGGGAATCGATCCCAGGTCTTCTCCTGACGACGCGAGGAATAAAGTGGAAAATAAATAGAGCACGTGAAAATGGTGGAGGCACAAGCTCAATCCAGCCCTGGTTTTAAAACTCGCTTTATTTCTCAGAACACGTCTAAGAGCATTCTTTGACGGTACAGAGACAAGAAACTCAAACCTAGATAGTGAGTGTCAGCAAAGTAGTCCGTGGGAGCACTGCGATTTCTCAATCTTAGGCCAATTCCAGTCTTGGCTGGCGTTGCCACAGGCAAAATTGGTTGCCGCATTTATCAACAAAATTCCCAATCACTACATTTTATAGTACAGCATATCTTGAGGAGTGAGTTCTGAAATTTCATTCGTTAGCCTTCAGCTACTAAACCCCAAACTCTCTCACTCTCTGCCTCAATCCCTCCATCTCTCCACCCACATCCTCAATCCATACCCCTCCCCTCCTCAATCTCTCCCCCTCCTCAATCCATTCCCCTCCCCCTCCTCAATCCCCCCCTCTCCTCATTCCCTCTCCCTCCCCACTGTTACAGCATATTATACTACATATAACAACACAATAACAATACAACACATCTATGTGAGCAAAATATTTACCACATAGCATGCACACAGGGGTTGCTCAGTTCTCCAGACAAACAACACACCTCAAAATACACAGCAGATATCAGCTCCTGGAAAACCCTCAGGGACAACTGATTCTGTAACGCAAAACTTCGGAAGACAGACAATTCCCAGTATTGTCTTTAAACCGGCACCATACGGAGTTCAGCCTCTGGAATCGTCCCTTAGATATAGCTGATCCTCACAGTACCTTGCAGTCCTTAGTACTGACAATATAGGGACGACAACACACACAAAGACAATCCCCAGTACTGTCTTTTAAGTATTGACAATATAGGGACGACAACACATATTCGGCACTGTTTCGTAGTCCAGCTAAACAGTAGACCTGGGATTACACCTTGACATGCACTGGAGAGATCACAGAACTAATCATACAGAATCACAGAGAGTGGCTCCTGGAAACCCAACAGAAACAATCAGCTCTTAGCCCAGCACCTCACTCGTACTGTCTAACCTGACTTCTGTGTTTCAAACGGATCAACCACTACTACTGTTACTACTTCTATGCCTAGCAGACAGAACCGAAAACATATTATCCACTACTCCTCCTCTTTCAGTTTTCATGATCACTTTCTTCCTGGAGGTAAATTCCCTCACCCCTGTACATACACATAGATACAGGAGAATCAATATCGATTCCACTGGGAAGTGCGCTGACCCTCTACACAACTCCAACGATTTTAAAGTTACATCCTTCTTTTATGAGTTTCTGACTCCATCTTCCCTGGTCACGGAGAGAGCCCCCACCTTCGCAGATTGCTTTGCACAGAGAGAGATGTGGACAACTTCTGGGCTCCCTTCCACAGTCTGCCTGTTTCTCAGCCTTGAGATCAGCAGAGGTCTAAGACTGCGGCCTTTTCTTGGTGGTCAATTGTTCTTACATCAGTGCTCAAGGACCCGTTGGCTCATTATCTAAGAGGAGGAAACATCTTCCCAGGAAAATATGAAATGTAATCAGGAGCTATCCTCGGCCCATCCAGCAAAGATACTTTAGCCATTTAATTATCAAACCTTCTGGAACATCCGGTTACGGTTTGAAATATACCAATGTATCCCGAGGTGATAGTCAGTATAGTTCAACAACCCCCATCCTCGAATCCTAACTGAAGAGCGATATCTTTAACTGCGGCTATGGTCACTCCCTCTTCTCTACCTGGTGCCCTGCCTTTGCGCAGCGCTCCCAGACGTTATCCTGCGTGAGGGGCAAGACCAGAGAGGGTGGGCTCTGAGCCATCTTTGGCTGGTCCAAGCTGTCACTCACCCAGATGCCGGGCACTGGGGTGGTCAGTATTGGCAGCCAATCATCGGGGGATTTTCCTGATTTCCTATATGGCCCAGTACGCCCTGGGGGTGTTGGCCGGGGTGGCATGTGGTTCTGACTTGTCTATCGTTATTTTTCTCTCCAGGTATGGGGGTGCCCACTGTCACCGCAGCTCGCATTCTGAAGGGGCAATTGGCCAATCGCACTGGAGAGGAGGGCTTCCTAGAGATGGATAAATACCCACATGTGGCTCTTTCAAAGGTGATTTATATCCCATCAAAGTTAGAGTTAGCTGCCATCCATCCATCTGTCAATCACAATAACAATAATAATTCTTGCATTTGATACACTACATTTAGATTATTGTGTGCAGTTCTGGTCCCCACATTATAGAAGGGATGTAGAGGCACTGGAGAGGGTGCAGAGAAGATTCATAAGGATGATCCCAGAACTGAGAGGCTATACCTATCAGCAAAGGCTGAACATGCTTGGACTCATCTCTTGAAAAGCGGAGGGTAAGGGGTGACCTGATAAAGGTCTTTAAAATGATGAAAGGTTTTGATAGGGTCGACATAGGGAAGATGTTTCCACTTGTGGGGGAGACCAAAACCAGGGGCCATCAATATAAAAGAGTCACAAATAGATCAAATAGGGAAGTTAGAAGAAATTTCTTCACACGGAGAGTAGTGGGAATGTGGAACATGTCCACCAACAAGAAGTTGTTGAGTCAAATAGCATTGATGTATTTAAGGGAAAGCCAGAGAGGTACGTGAGGGAGAAAGGAATAGAAGGTTTTGCTTGAAGGCTTAGTTGAGGAAGGGCAGGAGGAGGCTCATGTGGAGCATTGACACCGGCATAGATCATTGAGTCGAATGGCCTGTTTCTGTGCTGTATATTCTAATGTATTCTAATGTATATTGAGCCTGATCATGTTGTGTCTGTGCTGGCGCTCACTCCCCCACTGAAGCTCTCTACTCTAACCCCATTGCCAGTACTTTCTCTCCTCTTAAGATATTGGTCTCATTCCTTTTGAAATTTTACTTTCTCAGCCTCAGCGATCACTTGTGACCGGATAGCAAAGTCAGTTGTGTAATTATCCGAATGTAAATATCTCAAAATGTTCAAAGGTTATGAAATTCACCAATTGCACATTTCCTGTTAAACAAATCAGTTAAGAAGAAATGTAAATTATTTCTCCCCCCCCAATCCTCACTAGGCAAGAAAACAAATTTAGCAACTCAATCCACAACTACTTGTGGGACACTGCTGTATGCAATTGGCTGCCGTGTTTTGCTCACAAAATACAGTCAATTCACTGTATAATATATTCTGTGAAGGGCTGTGAGACATCTCAATGACGTGATAAGGCACTATCTCAAATGCAAGGATTATTATTATACTAGCTGTACCCGTTGCAGTTTTGCTTGCAATTAAAGGAGCCAATATGGAACATAGATGGACACACAATCTCCACTTGGCGCCCTGACTCTGCACAGCTCTGACACACAGACATTTTGTCTTTATACTTAGCTGGGAGGAATCCAGTGGGAGGATTCCTTTAATATATTTTCTCTCACAGTCCCACTCAGTCTCGTTCTCTCTCTCTCTCTCTCTTTCTCTCTCTCAGTCTGTCACTCTCTGTCTTTCCCACAAACCACACAGGCACTACACTTTATAATATATTCTCTCCCTCTCCCTTTCAGTCTCTCGCTTTCAGTCTCTCTCTCTGTCTCGCTCCCAGTCTCTCTCTCTGTCTGTCCCAGATGGGAGGACTGTAGCTCCCCGACAACCAGAAAAAGACGTGCCATACATTTATTGCAGAATATAGATATAGGTCTCTGAACAGTGTGTGCTTTCCTCTGTCGCTATGTAGTTGCAGATAACGATGCATACCTCATATTTTGGGGCTTAATTATAGCAATTTTTAATATAGCTCATCAACAATAGGAAATCCACCCCCAAAAAAAAGTATATGCCCATGACACTGCCAGTTGCAAGACCTTTCTGATGAGGTATAAATAATGTCTCTACGTCAATCGTTTATTGCGTGAGTGTCAGATACACAGATGCACAGACAGACAGAGAGACACCTTGTCATTATTAGTATAAGACGACGTGTGTAGTTTGAATTCGCAGTTAGAGATGTGGATTTTAGTGTGATGTGTTCTGCTTTCTCCCCCACAGACGTACAACACGAACGCCCAGGTGCCGGACAGCGCTGGGACTGCCACAGCGTACCTGTGTGGTGTGAAGGCAAATGAGGGGACGGTGGGTGTGAGCGCGGCTGCCTTGCGCAAGCAGTGCAACACCACCTTCGGCAACGAGGTCACCTCCATCCTCAAATGGGCAAAAGATTCTGGTGAGGAGCCTCACCTGGTCCACTTCTCTGGCCTCACACCCCCTTGTCCCACCATCGATAGCTAAGATATCGGCCACTACTCCACCACTGCTCTCTGGAACTCTCTCCCTCAATCTCTCCGCCTTGCCCTCTCCCGCCCCACTTTCAGATCCCGCCTAAAGACCATCCTTTTTGATCGTGCTTTTGATTAGCCTTTTGTATGGTCTGGAGGAGCAGCCCCTTGAATTGAAACTTCCCCATATTGAGGTTCCTACAAGGGGAGAAGTTGGGAGCAGCGGAGAGGATGTAAAAAAGGCACTCGTTCCAGTCAGTGAGAACCCTGTACAAGGTTGTGAAATCGAGCGGTATTTGAAACAGGTTTAGTGTGATTAAACATTGTTGGGTTTACATCATAAGAACATAAGAAATTCTAGACGAAAAAGACCAAGGTCCATCTAGTTCGCCATCCACCTTCCTGGCGGTCGCCTGCACTTATGTCCCAAACTCCCTATGTCTATATCCCATAATGTCATTTCCTGAAAGGAAACATCTAATCTGTGTTTGTGTTTCAACATTTCCTGCTTCAACCGTCTCCCTAGGGAACCTGTTCCACAGGATCACTATTTGCTCACCGACATAATATTTGAGTAGATTCATTCTGAATTTACGCCCTTCAATCACAGGCCATGTCCTCTGGTTTTATATTCTGGACAAGTTGAAACATCCTGTCATGACTTATATTGTCCTGACCCTTTAGAAACGTAAAAACAGCAATCATATCGTCTCTCCATCTTCTCTTTTCCAGTGTGAATATGCCCAATTTACATAGTTGCATTGTTTTCTGCCCTCGATGCACTTTTTTAAATATATAATAATAAGCCTTATCACGTCATCGAGACATCTCGGAGCACTTTACAGAATACATTGTAAAGAGTGTATTTTGTGGGCGAAACGTGGCAGCCAATTGTTCACAGCAGTGTCCCACAAACAGTCATGGTTTGAGTGACCAAATTATTATTTTTTTTGGAGGAATTATTACTCTCGGAAAGGGATCCGCCAATTGACTAACAATCAGGTTCTACTTACAACAACAATACCAACTTGCATTTTTATAGCCCCCTTTACACCGGGTAACATCCCAGAGTGCTTAACAGTGGCGTAATCTGACTGCTAGGCCTGTGGAGTAAGGAAACTTGCCTTAGGTTTTGCGCCACCTGGGAACCAAACCCAGGTCCTCTCGCTTGTGAGGCTTGCATGCTAACCTCTATGCTTCGGGACTTCAAGAACTGTGAAAAACCATCTTTCAAATGAAGAATTTTACATCAATCCGCATGATTCTTGACTCATAAAAACAAACTGTTGTTCAGGCTAAAACCATAAACAAGTTTAGGTCTAAAGAGCCGGGAGTTCTCTTGGCAAAGAGAATGGAGTTTCTCTTGGTTCTCCTTGCTAATAAATCCCTAGAGAAAAAAAAGATTATTCACTTCATGGTTGTTTGTGGAACATTCCTGTGTGCCAATTGGTTACGTCAAGAGGCTTCAGTAGGGTTTTTAAATAAATTCAAGCTGCACATTAAAGATCCGTTGGTTTAATGTACTAAAGTGCTCAAGGAAATAAGTCAAAGTCCTGAAAGGAGGGGTATGTGGTGTCCAAAGGCCACAACAGGCTCAGAGAGGAGGTGCTTTTCGAATTGGGGGTCAACCCTGGGACAAGAATATTAAACACAAAAAAGAACCTGGAGCTTGATGTACAGCCTAAAATTCGCAAAATAAAATTGCTGTCCTGAGGGTCAAATAAAGGGATGGAGCTATGACCCAGAGAGGAACAAACCTGGAGAGGCACCACCTGCTGGTGTTCAGTAAAGTGTTTCTTAAATAAATTAATGAACGCCTTGAGGAATACCACAAACTTTACCCCGAGACGAAGATGATTTTTTTCCACAAGTGCTCAGAGAAACTACCCCTGTGCGTGCCTCTATATCAATGACATGAGATAAATACTTGTTCTTGTTGTTGATTGTCCTTTGCTAAAAGGGTTTCTTCCCCAGGGAAATCCACTGGCATCGTAACAACTACGCGGGTCCAACACGCGACCCCCAGTGCGGCCTACGCTCACTCTGTCAATCGTGACTGGTACGCAGACTGCGACATGCCACAGGAGGCTCGTGATCAGGGCTGTAAGGACATTGCTCAGCAACTCATCCTCAACATTCGCCACATCGAGGTAATCCACAGCTCAGCAGCTTAAACTCTCCTGGTTTGATTTGCGGCAGAATTTGGCCAAGTCTTGTTTTTTAGCGTGAAACAAACTGACCATTACAGTAAAAGTCTGGTCATATAATCGCCTAAGTCGTATATCTGCCCAAATCCCGTTCAAGAGTTTATATTCAATGCAAGCTTGACCCAACTCAAACTTTGCCTAAGTCATATTAAATGTTCCCAATTTATGTGAGGATTACTGTAATAATAAAATAATAATCCCTGCACTTGACATTGCACCTACAAAAGTCTCGAAAAGAGTTTTTCTATGAAGTGTGGTGGCTGCGTACGGTGCTGTATAAATGTATGCCAGGGTGCCCAGCCACTACTGGTAAGCTGTTTGGGATGTCCTCCCAATGTGAAAGACGCTATATGAATATAAATGTGAATTGCCCACAATATATACAGTCAATTCTCGTTACTGTGAAGCGCTTTGAGACATCTTGAAGGCGTATATCAAATGCCAAGGAATCTTATTGTTGTATTGCATGTTATTGTGTAACACAGGCCTAAAAGGCAATGGTTGAACAGAGTTTGTGTGTTGTTGTGGAACAGGTGATCATGGGGGGAGGCAGGAAGTACATGTTCCCGAAAGGTACCCCCGACGAAGAATACCCGACCGAGGGGAAGGCCAATGGGACTCGATTGGATGGAAAGAACCTGGTGCAGGAGTGGAAAGACAGTAAACAGGGCAAGGTGGGCTTTACTTTATTGCAATAACGCGATGGTTGAGGTCCCATAAAATCTCAGCCAGGTTTTTAACGGGGCGCAATTGCTGGTCATCGCTCCCACTGATCAACATGACCGGTGATGACCAGGGTCACACCAGAAGTGAGGTCGATGTCGACCCGATGACCCAGAAGTCGGCCATTTTTTCAGCATGGGAAGCCACCACCCATAGGATGTCAGGGCATCCGTGCTGTAAGCAAACATGTTACAACTGGGCTCTACTGTACCATTGAAACTGAAAGATTATTTTAGACTGATGTGCCGGGGTTTGGAAGATTGAGGTATTGGCCATTAGAAAAAATGCAGATAATTCAACAATGTGTCAGTTTGGCCACATACTTGCTTGGTTTGGATCCAGGCCACACGTCCAGCTCACAGTGTAGGCTGATGCTCAGTCCTGAGGGAGGGGGGTGGGGGAGGGGAATGGTGCTGTATTAACAATAACACGTGTGGAGTCCTGTAGCTCAGTGGTTAGAGCACTCGCTTTGCAAGAGAGAGACCTGAGTTCAATTCCAGGCAGAGGGCGAAACCTTGGGCAAGTTTCCTTACTCCACACAGAGCCTAATAATAATCCCTCCAAAAAACCAAAAACAATAAATAAATTGGTCATTTTCAATCCACGACTGTTTGTGGGACATTGCTGTGCGCAATTGGCTGCTGCGTTCGCCCACAAATATACAGTCAATTCACTTTACAGTGTGTTCTGTGAAGCGTTTTGGGACGTCCTCCCGACGTGAAAAGCGCTATATCAAATGCAAGGATTATTATTATTATTATTATTATTATTAACACTCCCCCACCCTGACCCTGCAGTGTCAGCCTAGCCCTGGGGAGTATCCAACCATTTGGTTGCTGAGGGCCGGATGCTGGATTTGAACCCGGCAGGCCACATAGGCAATATTACCAACCATGTCCTCCCAACCCTGGCTCCTGGCCGCTGCCATGAGATATTAGCTCCAGGTCCTGGTGTGCGGCTTGAACCCACAATCTTCAGCCTCACAGATGGGAGAGCTACTAACTGAGACAAGTCAACAAGTCGTGTAATGAGATAGAAGATAATGCACTTAATGTAATGTCAAAATGCCACAAAGCTTTTCACAGCAATTACTGCCATGTATAGTGACTTTTTTTTATGATATCTGGAATATTCTGGAGGATTGCTGGCCAGCACAACAGGAGAAACTCTCTTTCCATTCCCAATTGTGTGGCGCAGGAACTCAGTGCTCTTCGAAGGCTTGGTGTTGCGGTTGTCGGAAGTGGCTATGTGTTCGTGTGTGATGAGGGGGCGATATCTCAGCTGTGAATGACTTCCCACTCTCTTCTTTCATCTCCTCAGAGAGCTGAGTACATCTGGAACAAGCAGCAGCTCAAGCAGCTGAACTTATCCAAAGTGGATTATTTAATGGGTAAGACTTATTACGGTCTGGAATGCACTGCATGGAAGGGTGGTGAAAACAGCTTTCATAAGGGAATTGCATATGTACTTAAAAGATGCAATGAATGGGCCCAATTGATGGACGTATGTGCAGAGCTATGGAGTAAGAGCGGGGGAGTAGGACTAGTTGGTAGCTCTTCCAAAGAGCTGGACCAATGGCCTTCTTCTGTGCTGTAAGATTCTATGGTTGTATGCTTAAGATCCACGGTGATGGCATCTGGTGGATCTCAGTCTCTACAGCGATGGTATCTGTGCTGTTTTCAGCCTTGTTGTCTCCTGAGCGCCCATCAATGTGGGGATTCATTATCTCACAAGGTGGCTTCTGGCTCTTGGAAGCATTGTTGGTGGACGGGGGTGGGGGGGCATGAGTGGGGGAAGGGAATGGAAATCACCCCGGAAATTAGCCCCCTCTCTCCTCTCTCTCAATCGCTTCTCCCTTCCTCACCCTATCTCCTGCTCAGCTATGAGCTGGGAATCCCGTTGTAAACCATATCCCATTGACTGCTGTATTTAGGGTTACACAATATTTCCCTTGATGTGCAGGATCCTCCTGTACCACATTCTTGCGAGGTCGCCATGGTGACTGTATCGGGGCTGCTCTCAGACTATACAGTAACGTTATCCGTGCTCTTCTCAGTCCACTCAATCCACGACTGTTTGCGGGACACTGCTGTGTGTAATTGGCTGCTGTGTTTTGACCACAAAATACAGGGTCAATCCAATTTACAATATATTCTGTGAAGGACTTTGAGACGTAATAAAACTCTATATCAAATGCAAGGATTATTATTCTGACAAAAGGTCATGGACCTGAAGATGTTGCCTGACCTGCTGAGTGTTCCCAGCAACTTGTGTTTCTATTATTATTATTATTTATTGTTATTGCTGTTGTTCTCACTCTCCACGGTTACAGTGATTGACGGGCGTGTGTCCGCTGTCTCTCCACAGCTCTGTTTGAACACGGGGACATGCAGTATGAGCTGGACAGAAACCAGGAAACGGACCCGTCCCTGGAGGAAATGGTGGAAGTGGCGCTCACCATCCTGTCCAGAAACCCCAACGGTTTCTTCCTGCTGGTGGAAGGTCAGAGTCACAGACAGCAGTTTAGAGGAGAGTTTAAAAAGAGTTTGTCCTTTTTCTTGATTAAAAGTTCTTGGAGGATATAAAGGTGTGAAAATGACCACGGAGTCCCCAAAGGAATTTAAAGAACCTTCAGTCCCAGAGATCTGCCATTTTGTCTAATGTCTAATTTTCAGTTTTTTGTAAGACATTTCTTCGCAACTAATGTGCAACCATTAGATTTCTAAAATGTCAAATGTACTGAAGAAATCCCCAATCATGTCTGTGCTGCTGCTTGCTTCCCCACGGGAGAGAGCTGGGAACGGGGTTAGAGTAGAGAGCTCCAGTGAGAGAGCTCTATTTCTATGATCTTCTGAGTTCCTTTCCGCCAAGACTTGCTTCCTGCCCCCTATCACCTCAGCCCTCCTGTGTGTCGGGCAAGCTTTCAGCCCCTTCACCCCCACCCCACCCCCATTCTCTGAAACTCTCTTTGAATCCTTCTATCTTGCTCTCAAAGCTCATCTGAAACCTACATATCTTCAGTCAACCATTCTAACCTCCACCCCATCCCCCACCACCCCAAAACCCTGCTCTTACTTCCACTGCCTCTGTGAACAGATCCAAGATAATTCCCTCCTGTAAACAGTTGGTGCTGTGTCTGTGCTGGTGCCCAGCTCCTCCTCTAGTACCATCTACACTAATAATAATAATAGTAATAATCCTTGCATTTATAAAGCGACTTATCACATCATTGAGACATCTCAAAGCGCTTCACAGAATATATTGTAAAGTAGATTGAAACGTGGCGGCCAATTGTGCCCTAATCCCAGTCCCTGCTCTTTTCCCCCACAGCCTTTAATATTATTTTCCTTCAAGTATTGTTTCCTTGTTTCCTTCAAGTATTATTTCCTTCGAATTCCCTGTTAAGCACTGTTTTGATTTCAGATTCAAAAGCCATTTACCATAACAACCCCTATATGTGTAAAACAAAATCCAGGAATCATAGAATATTTATAGCGCAGAACATTTCAGCCCATCAATTCCATGTCTTCTCCCAAGACAACGAATCTAATCTCACATTCCTGCTTGCTTCTTCTTTGCCAGGCATCTAATTTGCTTGTAAACGAACTGATGGCCTTGGCCTCAACAATGGATTCCATTGTCATACTTACGAGATAATGTTTCACCCACAAAATTCACAGTCAATTCACTTTACAGTACATCCTGTGAAACGCTTTGAGATTTGATAAGGATGCAAGGATTGTTATTATTATTATATGTTAGACATCCGGCTGAGCTCGTGTCTGAGATGCTTCCTCTCTGTGTAGGTGGACGGATCGATCACGGACACCACGAAGGCAAAGCCAAGAAAGCTTTATTTGAAGTGGTGGAATTTGACAAGGCGATCGGCAAGGCCGGGGTTTTGACCAGTGCGAGGGACACGCTGTCCGTGGTTACGGCTGACCACTCTCATGTCTTCACCTTCGGGGGCTACACTAACCGAGGCAACAACATTTTTGGTGAGTTGAACGGGCTATTTGTTCCAGTGGCCTGAGAACTAGATTACAACAACAGCAACTTGCATTTACACAGAACCCCTCATACAGGGTAGCGTCCCAGAGCTCTTGACAGTGGAGGAGCACAACATTGAGCTGGGAGGAGGGAGTGGGAGGTGGGTGCTGGGAGGAAGTGACCAAAAGCGTGGTTGACAAGGAAAGCTCTCCCTGAAAATGGGGAAGGAGGGTGCAAGGCGGAGGGATGGAGGAAGAGAGTTACAGAATTTTGGGGCTTAGCGGTTGAAAGCGCAATCACTGATGGTGGAACGGAGGGCACCAGCGGAGGAGGCTCGAGACAGCTGAGAGGAGGCAGTGGGTGGTGAAGTGGGGAGTAAGCAGCTTGGAAGTAGGAGCAAAAAGGTAAAGGACGAAAGTTGAATAATTAACTGCTCCGAAACGTAATCCACAGCTCTGGGTTACATTCCTATTGGAACAAAGGGAGGTTCACTGTGGAGTGCATTAACACAGCGTTCAATCATTAAAAGGCTGACATTTCTCTCCAGTGTTTTTACTGTTTCTGTTACTGTTTACATTTTACTGGGGATCAGCCTCATTGCTCTCCTTTGCGCTGCCTCTTAACAACAACAATAACAACTTTATATTTATATAACGCCCTTCGAGCAGGGTAGCATCTTGGAACGCTTAGCAGTGAGGGAGAGAGGGGCTTAGTCACTGAAAGCACGGCTGCTGATGGTGCTGTGGAGGGCATGAGGGACATGTAGGAGGCTCGGGACAGCTGAGCGGAGGCAGTGGGTGGTGAAGTGAGGAGTAAGCAGCTTGGAAGTGCCGGGGTGTGAAGCGATTTGTGGATTGGATCAGCTTTGCTGCTCTCCTCTGTTCTGCCTCTAAACACTGGAGATCATCCTCGCTGAACTGTATTGTAAGGCAGGTCCTCACCTTGTTGTATGCCTTCCTTCCAGGTCTCGCTCCATTTCTAAGTGACATCGACCACAAGCCGTTTACTTCCATCCTGTACGGGAACGGACCTGGCTACAAGCTAGCCAGCGGGGAGCGACGCAACCTGTCGAGTGTTGATATCAGTAAGTTGTAAAAACTGGACCCTTCTTCAATCTTTGGGCCGGGCATAAAATGTGCAGTAGTTCCAGGTTTACTGATGTTTGAGACATTCTTTACTTTAGACCAGAGGACTGGAATTCCACACCATCTTTCTGGTGGTTATAATCCCTCCAAAGAAAAAAAATGTGGCCACTCAAACTGCAGGTGTGCCCAATTGGCTGCCATTTTTTGCCCACGAGATATACAGTCAATCCACTTTACAGTATATTCTGTGAAACACTTTGGGATGTCTCAAGACGGTATAAGGTGCTATATCAAATGTAAGGATTATTATTATGTCTGGATGTGAGGTGATAGTTCCGGCTAAAATTTGAATGAAATGCTGAGAAACATAGCAAACCCAGGTGAAGTGAGGTGAAGAGGCCATTCTGTCCACTGAGTCTGTTTCACATGTGCATTAGAACATAAGAACATAAGAAATAGGAGCAAGAGTAGGCCATTCGGCTCTTCGGGCCTGCCCCGCCATTTAATAAGATCATGGCTGATCTTCTAACCTAATTACATTTACCCGCCCTATTTCCATATCCCTTAATCCTTCTAGTTTTTAAAAATCGATCGATCTCAGTCTTGAATATGTTCAATGACTGAGCATCCACAGCCTCTGGGGTAGAGGATTCCATAAATTCTGGAGTAGAGAATTCCATAACTTCACTACCCTCTGAGTGAAGAAATGTTTTCTCAACTCAGTTCTAAAAAGCTGACGTTTAATCCTGAGATTATGACCCCTAGTTTTAGATTTTTAGATTTAGGTGAAGCAGTCTCATGGCATCTACCCTTAAAAATCTTATAGGTTTCTATAAGATTAATTCTTCTATATTCTAGAGAATATAGGCCTGGTCAACTCAACCTCTCCTCGTAGGTCAACCCCCTCATCCCAGGAACCAACCTAGTGAACCTGCGTTGCACCCCCTCTAAGGCGAGTATATCATTTCTTAGATAAGGATTAAATATTGGCAAACCTTTTAATTGCTATGCCTTTTGCCAAGCCATTTAATATCTCTTTGAATGCAGTCCGAGGCACTGCCTGGTGTGAAAGGCGCTGTATAAACCCAAGTTGCTGTTGAACCAAGTCTTCAAAACTCTCTCTTAATAGGAGCCTTTAATGAAGTTCTTTCAGGCATTTTCAAAAGGTGTTGTATGGAATGAAAGTTGATCGGACAGAACTTCCTGAAAGCGATCAAGGGGCATTGAAGTGATTCATCACTCATTAAGTCAAGCCAGTCTGAGGCAGCAATAAACAAGACAGAATGCTGGACCAAATCAGTTGCGTTTAGAATCCCAGAAGTCACACTCAAGTTATACAGTACTCTGATCAACGAACAGACAAGCTCAGGCTCTTCAGACTTGAGAGAAGTCAACTCAGAGGACCTCATAGGGGTGTATGATAATAATCCCTCAAGAAAAAAAACAATAATAAATTGGGCACTTCGATCCACGACTGTTTGTGGGGACGCTGCTGTGCGCAATTGGGTGCCACATTTCGCCCCCAAATATACAGTCAATTCACTTCACAGTCTATTATGTGAAGCGCTTTGAGATGTCAAGAAGTTGTGAAAAGCTCTATATCAAATGCAAGGATTATTATTATTATTATTATAACATTTGAAATGGGATTGAAAAGTAAACCCATTTCAATACTTTACAATGTCCCAAGACAGAACAAGTGGACATGGCGTTATCAAGGTAAGCTCAGGGTATCACGAGATATAGAGCAAAGACAGGTAAATAAAGTTGAGGTACAGATTAGCCATGAAAATAGAAAAGTGGAACAGACTTGAGGGCTGAATGAACCACTCCTGTTCCTAAGGACAATCTCAGGACAGACACCAGGAAATTGTTATTCATCCAAAGGATAATTAACGACTTGAACAGGTTACCAGGAACAATAACAACAAAAGTACATTTGTACAGCACCTTTCATGTTGGGAGATGTCCCAAAACGCTGGACAGTCAGTGTTTCAGACCCAAGCTGGGGGTCGGGATCCGGAAGGGTGGAGGGCAAAGGGAAATGTGCGTGATTGAAGATACGATACGCCTGCGATATGAGCCAGTGGCAGAGCCGGGCGATGTTGTGGAGATGGGGGAAGCCAGAGCGGGTCATGGAACGTATGTGGGGTAGGAAGGATAGTTGAGGGTTAAACAAACCGCCAAAGTTTTGGACTGGCTTAGTAAGGTGGAGTGTGCATCCCTTGGATGGGTGGTTGAGGCCAGGACGATGGATCCATTTAAACAGCAGCTCGAAGCTCTGATGGGAAGATGGTGGGGTGGCTGATCAATGGCATGAGATCAAAGGACTTGAAGGGCCTTCCTCACCCAAACCGATTTGTTGATCTTCCTCCTTTTCTCTTTATTTCAGATGCCAAGAGCTATCTGGCCCAGTCGGCTGTGCCCCTGAAGCAGGAGACTCATGGAGGGGAAGATGTGGCCATATTTGCCAAAGGCCCAATGGCTCACCTGTTCCACGGGGTGCACGAGCAGAACTACATTGCCCACGTCATGGCCTACGCCGCTTGTATTGGTCAGAACAAGGAGCACTGCAGCTCCTCAACCTGGCCCAGGCCTAGTGCTGCTCCCAGCACTGCAGTGGCCAGCGCCAGCTTATTACTGCCATTGCTGCTGTTACTGCTGCTGTCCTGAGCTGAGCTCCGAGTGCTGAGCAAGGCGTTGTGTGGCGGATTTGTATTATCCACTTCAGGAGGTCCTGGTCCTTTCAATGCAATGGTTCTGGTCTGTGGAACCGCACAGTGACCTGTCGGGAGATGGAGTCCTGTGGGCCCATAACTGTAGCATATAATACACCCTTGGTGATAGCCTTGCTCCACAAAGCAGTCCCTTTCCCCTTCCCGTCCTCACTCAGCCCCCTCACTCACCCCTTCTATCCTCAAAACCCAGGCACGAAAGGCCTTGTACAAGACGATGACTGAAATACAACCACTAACTAAACCTGAAACATTCCCTTCCCCCCTCCCCCACCCTCGCCAGGCACAGCAGCCAAGTGAACCCTTCACAGAGCTCCTGAGCCCCAGCAGCAGCTGGACTGCTCCTCTCTCACTTTGTCACAGTCACGTTCCCTGTTATATATAACGGGAACTTCAGGAACTCTTTCCCTGGTAGTGTAAAGGCTCGTAGGAGAGTCCTGAGCTGCTGGTGGGCTGCCACCCAGTCCCGGACATATCCCTCCACGTTTATTCTCTGCGAGTTCCCAACAAACTCCTCAATTTGCTTTATTTTCCAAAAAGAAGCCCCAAAGTCCCTAATGGACCAGAAGCGTTGGCTGGACAGGGCAGAGCGTGAGCGTGAGTGCAATGTGTCCATCCTATTGCAGGGATGGAGCTACAGTGTGTGTGTGTGTGTGTGTGTGTGAGTGTGGACTCAGCTTGGTTTCAGCCAGGAAGCTGATTCTTCTGCTGGGCTGTGTTTATAGAACTGATTCTGACTCTGCAAACTTTTTAATTAAAAATAATGTTTCTGGGAGGGGGAGGGATGGGAGAAATCAAGATTATTGTTGTGATTTTAATGACCAATTTTTACAACCTGTCGGGTTCCCAACTCTTCCCTCCACAAGCTGCAGATCATCCAGAACTTTGCAGCTCATGTCCTCTCCCACACCAGGCTCCTTGACCCACCCCCATAACCCCCAACCTCGCCTGGCTCCACTGGCTCCTCATCCCCCAGAGGATAGAATCTCATTGTCACCTTCAAGGCCCTCCATGGCCTTGTTCCTTCCTACCTCTCTGACCTGTTGACCATATCAACCTGTCTGCTCCCTCTGATCAGCAGGTGGTGGCCTGTTGTACATCATCTGCCTTCAGCCTTTCTGCCCCCACCCTACGGAACTCCATCCCAGATTTCCTTTGCCTCACTCCCTCCCTTGCCTACTTCAAGGCACACCTCAAAACCCTTGTCTTCGGCCACCCTCCTACCCTTCCTGCCCTCCAGCCTCCCCGGTCCCAACACGCAGCTCAGGTCCAAATTCTTGACTGTCAAGACTTGGGATGTCTTCCCGACATGAAAGGCGCTGTTTAAATGTAATTTTGTATTGCGGGTGTTTTTAAAACCTAAAGGAACAGTACAGTATAACTTTTTTAAGTACCTGCTTTTCAACATAGTCTTCTTTAGCAGCTTTGTGGCTACTTTATGTTGTAAAATGAGCCAATAACTATTAAGTGTTTCTTCACCTTGAGCAATTTTCTTAGACTCTGGGATAGAATTTGGCAATGCAGCATATGAGCAATCCATTAGTGGCCGACATTACCAAAGGCAACATACGTCAAACTAGACAACATTTTTACCCATTTATTTTCAAGAGAACTAACTATTTATACCGCTGGCCCATTGAACACATTTAACAGCAAAATCAGGGGAAAGGCTAGAAGGTACATCTTCACTCAGTAGCTATTGTAGCTGGGTCAATGGAATTGTTCACAGGGGAAATGGCTAAGCACTTGATCAGAAATTACATGAAGGAGCCACAAAGAGCGAGATGAATAAAAAAGATGATTTAGAAAAATAATTAGCACAGTGGCACAGGTGTGATGGGCCGAGCAGCCTCCTTGTGTGTTGAAGGTGTCTCTTTCCGTTAATGTTTGCCCACCATTTATCCAGCTGGGGTGACTCTATCTGCTAAGGGTTTGGCTCACAGCGTTGAGGTCACTTCTACACCCAGGTCTGCCTCAGAATACTGGGAAACTTCACCTTCCCTCTCCACCCCCTCCTTGGAGCAGACCGGTCTCAAGATTGTTTACCAACTTCATAGTTTTACATTAATTTACATTGACTGTTCATCACAGAAATAGACCACTCGGCCCACCGCTCTGTGCTCCACATGACCCTCCACCAACTCCTTGCTTCGTTCCATTCCCTTCTATTTCCTTCTGCTTCAAAAGGACGAAGGGACTCACTGCACCAACCTCTCCCCCCTCCCGGGGATCAAATCTACAATCTTGTAGACCAAAGGCCGATGCTCAGTCTATCATGATCACAGGGTTGAGTTTGGGTGAAGAAGGACCTTCGATCCATTTGATCTCATCCTTCCATAGTTTGTGTGTATGTATATGTTCTCCTGCTCTAGCACTGAGGACAGCATCTCCTTCAACGTTTAGCCTGATTTTTAGCCTGAATCCCCTGATTTTTAATTGAATTTCCTGAATTAAGATTCGGGATTTCCCATTTTACAGTCCAGTTTACAAATAACACAAAATACTGAACATTTCCAACGTTTATGCCTGAATTTTTCAAAGTGTAGTCCTCCCTCCTTTGTGTTAATGGATACCCATATGTATTTAAGCTACAGAAATCTTTTATAAAATAAAACCTCTTCATTTTATCACTGTTTGCCTTCTGAGAATTAATTTTTCCACTCGCCGGTTCTTAAATTTCCCAGCTCCCCGAGAGAACTTTAATAGTGTGTGTCTCCTGAATAATTGCGCAGATGTGTACAAGGGTCAAGTACTGAAATCACAAGTCCAATTCAGCTGAAATCACTAGTCATTGCACACATAATGTGTCTATGTGTATATATGTCTATGTTATGTGTGGGTGTGTGCCTCTGGCAATATGTGTGCAAGCCATCCCCTACCTTTCTCCCCGACATCACCACCCTCTTATCTTCCCTCTGCTCTCTGCTCTGAATGCCTCCTCATTCTAGGCGACTTCAACCTTCACTTCACCCCCTCCTGCTCTACCTCCCTTATCTCCTCCCTCAAACTCTACCTCCACATCCACTCCACCACCCACATCCAATGTTATCCCCTCGACTGGTGATCACTTGGGGCCTCACTGTCTCGGCTCTCACCATCATCAACAAAGCCATCTCTCTTCATCTCCCTTAACTCCTCAATCCCTCTCCCCACCACCATTCAATCCACGTCCATCTCCTGCCACCCTGAAAAAAAATCTCTCCTCTCCCTCTCCACTGCCTTGGAATCATCTGAACTCCTTCCCCTCTGGACTTCCTCCCACAATGACCTATGCTCCTCAGTCACTCTTCACCAAAGCTTCCTCTCCACCACTCTTAATTCCCTTGCTCCCTTCGTGTCTCGAACCATCTCCTACTCACAAATGTTACCATGGTACACCAGGAACCTCCGTTCCCTTAAAGCACAGATGTGTGATGCTGAGCATACCTGGCTTAAGTTGAATTTAACGGTCCATCAGTAGATCTGGCTGGACCTTATCAAATCTTGTCGCTCCACCCTCACCTAAATTGTCGTTCTAATCCAAGACAATTTTGGAGGCCAAGGACAATCCCAAGCTACTCTTTGCATCACCATTCAGCTCCTCCACCCATCCTCTCATGCCTCGCCCATCCTCAACTCCAATACCAATTGCGAGGCAATGCTGGACTTCCACGAATCCAAAGTCGAGGGGTTCCACTCAGCTTCCTTTACCCTTCCGTCTACTATCCCCTCCCCATTTCCCCCTCACAACCTGGCTTGTATCCATCCCTCCATGCACACCTTCGAACCTGTCTCCCCCTCCTCTCTCAACACAATGACCCGCATGAAACCGACCACCTGCTCCACTGACTCCATCCCTACCCCTCTCCTTACCTCTCAACTCCACCTCCTTGCCCCTCTACTCACAAACATCATAAACCTCTTCCTGTCCATTGGTACCATTCCCACCCCTTTGAAAATAGCCGTCATCACTCCTATCCTTAAAAGACCCTCCCTGAATCCATCCCTTCTCTCAAACTACTGCCCCACCTCCAATCTCCCTTTCCTTTTCAAGATCCTGGAATGAGTTGTTGCTTCCCAGCCTCGCTCCTTCCTTTCCCACCACTCCGTTCACGAACCCCTCCAATTGCGTTTCTGTGCTGCCCACAACACAGAAACAGCCCTGGTCAAAGTGACAAATGACATTCTGTCCATCTGCGACCAGGGCTCCCTCTGCCTCCTCGCTCTCCTTAACCTCTCTTCTGCCTTCGACACGGTTGACCGCTCAATCCTTATCCACCGCCTGTCCTCTGACCCCAACCTTCATGGTTCTGTTGTTCAATGGTTCAGATCATACCTCCCACACCGGCTCCATTTCATCTCCACAAATGGTTTCTTCTCTAGCCCCCACACCTCATGCTACATTCCTCAGGGCTCTGTCCTTGGTCCCCTCCTCTTCAATATCTATATGCTCCCTCTGGGTGACATCATCCGCAGACATGGGGTTAACTTTCACATGTATGCGGATGACACCCAACTCTACTTCTCTGTCAGACATCAAGTCCTGGATGAGAGCGTCAACAAGACCAAGGCTCCTGATTGGCTCTTGTCAGCGCCTCCTCAACTCAGGTGTTGACAGCATCACCATCCATGGTTGCACACTCCACCTTGCTAAGCCAGTCCGCAACCTTGGGGTCTTGTTTGACCCTCAATTATATTTTCTAGCCGACATCTGTGCCATAACTCACTCTGCCTTCCCCCATCTCCGCAACATCGCCCGGCTCCGACACTGTCTGACTCCGCAGGCCACTGAGACCCTCATTACATTGAAGCTCGACTATGCAAACACTTTGGTTTTCTGCCTCCCCAACTCCTCACTCCACAGGCTGCAGATCATCCAGAACTCTGCAGCCCGTGTCCTCTCCCGCACCAGGCTCCACGATCCTATCACCCCCATCCTCGCCCGACTCCACTGGCTTCCCATCACACAGAGGATACAGTTCAAGATCCTGGTCCTCACGTTCAAAGCCCTCCATGGCCTTGCTCCCCTCTACCTCTGCAACCATCCTGCCCGCTCTATCCACTCAGAGAGCTCAGGCCTGCTTCACATCCCACCCCCTCGCCTGCCCCACCATTAGCAGGCAGGCCTTCTGCCACTTTGCTCCCCATTGGAACTCCATCTCGCAGTCCCTCTGTCTCGCCCCCTCTCTTGCCCCTTTCAAAATATTTGTGGAACTGTGTATGTGAGTGAGTGTGTGTGAGTGAGTGTATATTGTTGTGTGTGAGTGTATATGTGTGTGAGTGTGTCTGTGTGAACATGTGAGTGAGTGTGTATGTTTGTGAGTGTGTAAGTTAGTGTGTGTGTGTACGTGAGTGAGTGTATATGTGTGTGAGTGAGTGTATATGTGTGTGAGTGAGTGTATATGTGTGTGGGTGAGTGTGTGTGTGTATGTATGTATGTGAGTGGGTATAAGAACATAAGAATAGGAGCAGGAGTAGGCCATTCGGCCCTTCGTGCCTGTGCTCCGCCATTCAATAAGACCATGGCTGATCTTCTCACCTAACTCTGATTACCTGCCCTATCCCCATATCCCCTAATCCCTCTATTTTTCAAGAATCTATCAGTCTCAGCCTTGAAAATGTTCAAGGACTGAGCATCTACAGCCTTCTGGGGTAGTGAATTCCATAAGTTCACTACTCTCTGAGTGAAGAAATGTTTCCTCAACTCTGTTCTAAAAGACTGACCCTTAATTTTCAGACTGTGACCCCTGGTTAGAGATTCTCCCACCGGGGAAACAGTCCCTCTGTGTCTACTTTATCAGCCCTTT